ATATATATATATATATATATATATATATATATATATATATATATATATATGTATATACCATGGCATATGGGAAACAAGACTGAACATAAGAAGAGCTTCTGTAGGCTTGTTCTGGAGGCTGATTTGATCAGGGAGCAGGAATAAAAGACGACTAGGCAACTACAGGGTGAAGGTTTGCACCAAAACTGAAAGTAACAACACTCTAAGAAGCTCTACTGCTTTTAGTTTTCCATCAAAGACATAAGCTGACTGAATTTTACAGGAAAGACAGAGATGAAGATAATACCTATTATCTGGTTAGATCAATGGTCTCTCGATGTCAGGGACCTATGAAGGTCTCTAAGAAACCTCAGAGGATGTCTGACGGCAGTGAAACAATCAACCTCTGAGACTATAACAGAGACAAAGATGGCAATTCATACAGGAACAACTGATCACCAATGAAGGTTTCAGATAGTAATAAAGATCGCTTGCATGGTTGACTTCGAATTTCAAAAATGGGGCATCTTTCCCCCGATAATATCAGGAGCCCTTGGCTCATGAAAGGAAGAAAGAAAAATGACCCAGCAAGAAAATTGGAAGGACTAACCAATTTGAAAAAACGAAAAGACTTCTCTTGTAATTAATTCAAACCAAAAAGTCATGTTTGAGAGCTTAGTACAGTACATGTTAATGCAAGAAACACGATGTAGGCTATACATATTCTAGATGCCCAACTTCAGCTAAAGGGAGCGTATCGAATTATATTCTAAGCTGTGATTGTATATGCATCTGTAGCAAAGTGTTTAGGGTCTTAACGATAGGAAAAATTCAGGGTGTCTTATTATTTTGTTAATCACAGTTGGAAGAAACAAATCAACAAAATGAAAGTAAGTTATTTACATGCCAATCTCCAGCATTAGAATTCAGCGACTGAAAGCATTTTGAGCTCTGTTAGAAAAGAATTTAGGCCATCAACAAGAGGGAGAAGTTCCTTGTATCCCACTGTTGTCTCTAAACAAAAATATGAATTTAAAGTTGATCTGTATTTGCTCCTAATTGATTCGTATTTCACTGTTGACAAATGAAAGGTGGATTGCTCATACTGTTTTCTCCAGTAAGAACACAAATATAACTTTCAAATTAGCCATATATAACATTTTCTTTTTTCTTATTATAGGAAATGGTGTTCACGAAACTTGGCACCCGTGGCAAAGGAAGACCATCAGTTATCAAGATATTACCTCATGATCAAGTAACAGGTTTTCTGGCTTTATGTCCCTGTGAATGACATGCTTTTCATGACAATACGCCAATGCTTGTGTAAGACTTGCAATATACTGCACCAGAACCAACCAAAGTATCAAAAGTCAAAGAATAACCTAAAGCAACAAGAAAGAAGATGAAACTAACAATAACGTTCTCTGCAGAAATATAACAATGCGTTCAACAATTATATAAATGATCTTCAGATAAATGCTGGAGTCTCAAAACACAAGAAAATATTATTAATTCACTATTCAATATTAACCACAGAGGAAATAGCACAAGCAAGGCACCATGAAACGGAAAAACAGAAACTGGTACAAATTCATCCCAAAACTGCGAGCATCTTTCAAGGAACTACTATAAGATCGTACCTTACATGGCAGAAAACAGATAAAGAAAACATTGAATCTCTATCCTCTTTGTTTGGGTAGGGGGAGAGGGAATTAGTTCTTATTGACACAGTATATAGCTCACAATTAAACAAAGGAACTATGCCTCATTTTCAATCCCTAGCCAGTTGAGTCGGCAACATGAATCCTCGCTATCCATTTCGCTCCGTTTGGACCTGTCTCATTCCAATATTCAATAATCTGGAGTTCTCTAACACTAGAGGTTATAAATATATAAAAACACTTAAGCCTCAATCCCGAACAAGTTGGGTCAACTATATGAATCCTCACTTACCACTTTTCTGCATCTAAACTCATCTCATGCCAATATTATGCAAATACAAATGGAAAGTAGTATTAGAAGTTCCGCATATGTTCTAAATGTATAAATCTTTGAAAAACTAAACCACTCCTAGAAAGCATAGGACCTACAGTAAAAGTGCTAATGTCTAGAACATATTCTCAACTACTATGTATCGCCTATATAGATCCTTTTATTACATTGTGTCCAATGATATGACATACCGTGGCGGCTTGTGTCTCGGAAAGGCGACCAGTCTTCCTAAGCTCCCTGTAGAGCTCACCGCCGTGGGCGTACTCCAAAATCAAGAAAATCCGCTCCTCATCATGGAACCAGCCATATAGCCTCAGTACATTTGGGTGGCGAAGACTCGTTTGAATCTCCATTTCCCTCTTCAGTTGGTGGTGCAGCCTGTATTTCTCTATTTGCTCCTTGAATATCACCTTTAATGCCACTATAAACCCACTCTGCTCCAACCATATGCCACAAAATTCAAGAACATCAAAACCCACTTCTTTTTTTCTTATGAATAGTATAATGTACATGTGACAATAAAAGGTGCAATGCGAAGTAAGAAGTCAAGAAATAATTTCACAAGGCCTTTATTTACTAATGTTAGAACTAGAGCAGCATTTGATGTACATATATATTCTCACCAAATCATATAATTCATCAATATTTTGGTCCTAGTGATTTTTAACTACGCACATTTAACTGTGAATTAATTAAAATGCAGTATGTAGTTGGTCCTTTTATACAGAAAATATGTTATACTTAGATTAATTTAGAACATACAACAACAACTACTACTACCACTACTACTACTATGCCTCAGTCCCAAACAACTATGTCACGCTCACCATATTATGAGGATTCATCGTCAATTAGCAAGTTTTAAGCTAGCTGCCAACCTACGGCAACCCTCCCCCTTTACCCGGGCTTGGGACCGACAATGTGGGCAGGCTCACACATAAATAGTAGTAATACAAATTTAACGTAAGACATGGATAATTAGATGATTTAATAGTTAATAATTCGTTTAAGTTTAGTGAAGATTCACCAGCAGAATGATCAAATTTACACATTTCCTTTAATTGATAATTAAATCTGCTTAACCAAATATGACAATGATAAAAATCAGAATCTGTCACTATTTCAAAGTCTAAAAGTGCAAATTACCTTAACTTCACGAGCAAGGTAAACACGACCGAATTTGCCTTTGCCGAGCGGTTTTCCGATTTCGAAATCGTCGAGCGACCACTGTTTTTGTGGACCTTTTGGTGGTTGTTTTGGGGGTTTTGGAGGCTGAATTTGAGTTTTGGTAGCCATTTTTGCAAAGTAATTTGGAGAAGAAGGGATTTGTAATTCAAATGGGTTTGGAGGGAATAGGTGTCAAATTTGTAGTATCAGTTCGCCAATCGGGTCAGAATCCATTTCCTTTCGGGAAACTTACAAAAATGTCCCAAATAAATAACTTACCAACCTCTAGGCATTAGTCATAAACTTACCAAAACTAGCCAACAAAAATTAAAACACCAAATAATAAGGTTCTTTCTTTCAAAGAATCACATGCAAAAATCACCTTCCATATTTTTAAGCGTGATTAGCAACATTAGATACAAGACGGAAAGGAAATTTCATGGACGGGGTAGCAAATAAGGTGATGAAATACAAAAATATATACAATATTCCAAAAATCTAAGAAAAAAAGGAATTTTTTCAATGGGTATATTTGAAATTCATTGAAAATATATAGATAAGTCAATATACAAAATTTGAGGAACATTGAAGGTGATTGGACTGGTTTTGTATCAAAATCCGTAATTAAATCGAGTTCAAAAAAGTCTTCTGCGACACATGTATCAAACATATATCACGCATGTATCTCACACACAGGTATACATGGATATACATGTGATACACAATTGATACAAATATGATACATATGTGATACACAAATGATACACAATGTGATACACATATTATTATTTTTTTTTATTTTCAGTTTTTACGTCGAATTTTCAATTCAAACCACCTCAAAACTTCACCAAATCATCCCAAAATTGAGATTCAAGCTCCTTAAGTTGTGCCCAATCTATTCTAATAACACCCACTCAAAACAAAGCAAAAATTTGATATTTTTTTGCTTCAAATAGCTAATTGGCTAATTTGGCTAATATTAGTAATATTTTATCAATTGGCCAATTTTTGTAATGAGCTACTTATAAATGGACATAGCTGGTAATTCCCTTTCCTTTTCGGTCTGAGCTGAGTTTATTGGGCTTTTTTTTCAAACCATTTTTCTTCTTTTTAAAGGAAAAATCACTTTTCTTTTCAACTCATTTTTAAATTTAAAATTTCAGGTAGCCAACACTGAGCTACTAAGGTTTCCCTAAAAAAGTTCTTTTCTTATTAAGATATTAAAAAACTTTTCTTTTTTAGTATATGATTGAAAACAATTTCTTCATAAAAATGATTTTCTTTTGTTGCAAAAAATCATTTATGCAATTTTATTTTATATGAATCTATTTAATTGGTATGCCTTCTTTCATGAGTATAATATACCTTGAGAAATAAGAAGAATTTGTTGCAAGAAAGGAAAAATAATTTATAAATTCACTTATAATATTTATTTCTTAATAAGGCTTTCAGCAAGATTTGTCGTTAATACAAGATCTAGTTGTTTCCTACTCATGTCTAGCAATTCAGCCGTTATTTTGCTACAAAATACATTCTGACAATCCCTTACAAACTTAGAACACTTAGAAAGTAAACTTTCCAAGGCATTAAAATCTTTTTTAGCTAATGATTGGGTGGCACGATGGAGCTCGCTTATCAAGAATATATAGCCACTATTACAAATAGCAAATAAAATTTGGATTTTGTCTTTTGAATTTGCTTTAGATGTCTCGATTAAGATGTGGTTGTTGGTAGCATATTACAATATTGACCAATAGCAATTTACGTTACTCCAGTAGACATATATAGATTGTGTACTTGTTTGCATTTACCCGTTATTAATGTCTCATTGTTGGCACACAATGAGGATCGAAAGTAGAACAAGTTTGCAGTACTTCGAAGAAGGAAAAACGAAGAAGAAGCCATTTTCTGTAGTAATTCAGTTTGAATTATATATATAAAAATTTTATAACGTTAGAAGTGCAAAAATAAGATATAATTTTAGCATAGGAAATATGAATTATTTTTTTTGTGAAGAGAATTTGATAGAATGGGGGCTACGTCTCATCAAGTGTAAAATTTCATTGTGGTGGTAAATATTCAAATATTTTAAATAATTTTAATAAGTTTAGTGGAGTATCCACGTGTTAATTAACGAACTAAATGGGTGAGGAAAAAATATTAAATCGGAAAATAACTTTTTAATCAGGGAAAACAGTAAAATACAGTGCTGTTTTTGGTCATAAAATTGAATAATGGAAATGGAAATATAAATTAAAAAAAGAAAAGAATATACTTTTATGGACATGTAATCAATTAAACATTGAAGTAAAGCAAAAAAAATGGAAAACTAACAGAAGAAGAAGCTGGAGTTGTACTAGGAATAAACTTTGAAAGAAAAAATAAACACATTTTATTACTCAAAATCTAATTCACAAGCTAACAATTTCTCTAAATACTAATTCAAGAACACTAAACTAAAAACAAAAATCTAATTCTAAGCTAATCATTTTTTTTTCTTCTAAAAATAAAAATAATAAAGTTCAGTAATCATCGGTGAAAACTAACTTGAACTGGAAATGAAAGCTTTCCATTTCCAATTACAAAATTATGTCCACCAGCAGCCAAAAGATTATAAGCTCTATAATTCACAATGCCCAAATTTTTGCAAGCATTTAACACAAAATCAACCTTCTTTTTCTCTCCAATTTTCACAAAAACCTTCTTAAAACCAATCAATTGTTTAAGTGGAGCTTCAGCAATATCTTCAGGTGGAATCCAATAAACCATTAAAACATCACTTCCATCTTTTTTCCCAATATTCTCTACTTCAATCGAGAAGTCGAAATTGAGATCGTCCCCACATTTCAAGTCGTCGATTGATACTGCAGGGCAAGGTGACACGTGAGTGCCTGCAGTGTAATTCAGATCGCGACAGTGCTGAAATTTGTTGAGTTTTACTTGAATCTTTTGTCGTGCTGATAATAAGTTGTAGGTGAAATTCGTATAGCTAAGACCATATCCAAATGGATATACAGTTGATCCATTGTAAAATTTGTAAGTTCTACCAGGGTACCCTAAGTTGTCAATTGGCCTTAATGGCATTGAAGTCATTGGTAACATATCCACATAACTATTTTCATGCCATGTTAATGGTAGTTTTCCTCCTGTAAAAAACATAACACATAAATAATAAAGGGAAAAATATTAGTATTCAATTCATAAACTCTTGAATAAAACAAAATTCGAAAGAAAAAAAGGCTTAGCTTGTTGTGTTTTTCTTGAAAATAATAAGCATAAAATTGAAAATTAAAACTAAAAATAAACAAATCACGCGTATCAACTATATATGACATGTTGCAACATGTAAAACTATATTGTAAATGACTCGTTGGATAATAGATAAAACTATACTGATAGTATAAAATTTCTTTACTTTAAGTCAGTATAGTCAATTCAATTCTTGACTAGAAGTTTAAGATAATAAATAAATAATTAACGTGATCATAAGCAACAGTGGAATTGAGAAAAAAATAGTTAATACATTAATCTTGATTTTCTAAAGTGAAATTACATAATTTTGACTTTTTTTCTGGTTGAAAAAACTACATAGTATACTAATATACATATAATATACAAAATGTATACATAATCAGAGTATAAATTATGTAAAGCGAAAATACATAATTTAGACCTTTTTTTTTTGTTATTGTTGAAAACCCTACATAGTATAGCAGCTCTCAAAAATAAAGACACCAAAATGTATATTTTTCTATATTAATATACAATATAGATATAATATACATATTATATACATAATCAGTGTATATTTTACGTACCAGGGTTGTAACTTCCAAAAACAACATCAGCAATGGCACGACCACCTTCTTCACCAGGATATCCAGCCCAAATAATACTTTTAATCTTAGGATTATTTTTGGCAAATGAAATATCAATACCACCAGCAGACATAATTACAAGAATAACAGGACCTTTTGAAACTTGAGCAACTTGATTTATGAGTTGAGTTTGGTAGCCAGGAAGTAATAAATCAACTCTGTCTAAACTTTCTGCTTCAACACTTAAATCTAATCCCACAATTAAAACAGTTGCATCTGCTTTTTTAGCAGCTTTCATTGCTGGGAATATTAAACTCTCATTTTTGCACAAAATTTCTCCACATCCTGCTTTATAGTCCACTTTGCTATATAATGAAAATCCATGTATTGGTGTTGTAATCTTACATGGAATACCTAAATAATGTCAAAAAAATTAATGTTAGTCTTGAATCCAAAAACAACAACAACAACAATATATACAGTGTAATACCACAAGTGGAGTCTGGGAAGGGTAGTGGCCCAGTGGCGAAGCTAGGAATTTCGACAATATTTTACCTATATAGACACTGTAATTTTTCGACAAAGGGTGGTCAATTGACCACCCTTATGACCATGTGGCTTCACCCCTAGATAGTACATACACTTACTCTTACCTTGTGAAGGTAGAGAGATTATTTCCGATACACCCTCGGATCAAGAAAAGTATAAACGCAATAATTTTGAAAAAGAGATATGATAGTGGAGAAGCCATGAAAAGATAAACAGTAACAACAACCAAAAAAATAAGATAACTGAAGCAAAAGAATAGGGAATAACGTTAGTCTTGAAATCAAGTTTATGTATTTCTATTAGTGAAAATTAACATTAGTTGTGAACAATAGCGAAGCAAGTAATACATATAAGGGAATTCAAGAAAATATTAGGATGTAAGTGTAACACCTAGAATTTGAAAACGTGACTTAAAAACAAATTTTTTAACTCTCTTTGCAGCCACACTAGAATATTCTTTTCTTATGTGAGGGATTTTAAAGTTTATATGTAATCAAAATGAATCATTTTACTCCTATTTACGCATAGGATATAACAAAAGAGTTTTACACTATCAGATCAACATATAAGAAGTGTGATTAGTAAGCTGAAAAATAAGGCATATTACTATGTGCAACATGTTAAAATAACTAAAAATATAAAAATTCTTTGTAATGTCGATACATATAAGTTAAAATTCAACGAGGGTCAAATAATTAAAATTAAACATTTTAATTTTTTGAGATTTTTTTACCTGCATAATTGCCTATCATGGCATTGGAAGCATTAGCATGAGGTCCAACAACAGCAATAGTTTTAACCTTTTTAGAATTCAAAGGCAAAACTTGGTCTTCATTTTTAAGAAGAACAATCCCTTCTCTTGCTGCTTGTGTTGCTAATTCAATGTTTTCCTTAGAACAAATTTGTTCTTTTCCAAGCTTTTCAAATTTTGGACTACCATCAAAAAACCCTAGCCTCATTAGCACAAAATACAAATTTGTGAGAGATTCATCTATTTCTGATTCTTTTACTTTTCCTTGTACAACTGCATTGCCAGCATAATTTGTGTAGTAGTTGCCACAATCCAAATCCAACCCTAAAATATAAGCCAAAGCAAATAGTATTATTCTTTGTTACAAAAGAAAAGGTTCTAATTAGAGAATATATAGAACTAAAAAAGGCAAAGACATATTCAAGATTTAGAGTCGGTCGGTTCAGAATGGGTGATTTTATAATACATAGAAAGTTTAATGTTTCCTTTATATGTATACAAGGTTTGAGCCAAAAATAATAAGTTCTTTTGAAACTACAAAATTCAGGTTTAAAATAAGTGTGATCGTATTATATTTATAAAAAATTTACTTTTTTACTTCATATGTGTATATTAGTTCGAGCCAAATATAATAAGCTAAGTTGAAACCACAAAATTAGGGTTCACAATGAATGTGATCTTATTATCGGTATAATATATATATATATATATATATATATATATATATATATATATATATATATATATTTTATATATATATAGTCCGAGTTGAAAACTATGAGTTCAATTGAATCCATGTCGAAAGAATGTGGTAAATTTACCTGCTTTTAGGCCTTGTGCAACAGCATCTTCAGGTTCATCTCCTAACCATTTGTGACCATGAAGCATAACTTCAATGGAATCACAATCTGAAACTATATACCTGAAAATTATAAAAAGTAAAACAAGAAAAATTATGACAAATCATTAAAATGAGGATTCTTTTTTTGGGAAACAATAAAACTTAATTAATTAATTAATTATTACCCATGAAGATCCCAGTCTCCTCTAATTTTGCCTTTTAGAAGCTTTGGGTCAGCACATGCTGGAATTCCATTAATCCTATTATATGAGCACATTACACTTGTAACATCACCTTCTTTAACACACATTTCAAAGGGTTTAAGAAATGTTTCCATCATATCTTGCTCTGTCACCTTCACACACACACACACAAAAAAAAAAAAAAAAAAAAAAAAAAAAAAAAAAAAAATTAAGTACAACACACCGCGCATAGCAGGAGCTAATTAGTGCAACGATCCTTAATAAATTAGAGGTTAAGACGATTAATTACCCGTGAATCGAAATGGTAGCGATCAACACCGAGCCAATTATCAACATCATAAGCTGCATAATGTTTGCAACACGCGGCTACTTTCAGAGGTCTCGAGTTCAAGTCTTTAGCGTTTTCCGTGCCCTCGACATCTTGTAAGCCTCTAACATAATTAGAGGCATATTTCCCAACAACAAAAGGATCTTCTCCAGGTGTTTCTAAAACTCGTCCCCATCTAGGATCTCTTACTACATTAATATTTGGACTCCAAAATGTTAGACCAGCATGTCCTAGGTTAAACATAGCCCTTGCTTCTGTTGAAACAGCCTGCAAATTAAGTTTTTGTTATACATCATCAAAAAAGCTTTAAAAAAAGCAGTCCGATTCACATAGGGTTCAGGGAAGGCCCGCGCCCCAAGGGGTGTAACGTAGGCAGCCTAGGATTCCACGGCTAATGCAATCATCAAAAGCATAGTACATAATTTTTTTAGAAAATCATGGTAAATATATCTCTATGAGTATACTCCATCCGGTTCTTTTCATTTACTATATTTTAAGGTATTCGTACACACAGTAAGAAAATCATTTAATAACAATAATTAAAGGTTATTTGAATAAATTGTACAATTAAAAATAAAAACATAATTAATGCCTTTTTGGTTTTCTAAAGAGACAAATATTTTTGACCAGTTATGTTACTAATTAAAATAAATGAATTAGATACCATGAATATGAATTAGATACCATGAATTGTAACAAACTAATTAACAAGGAGTCCTATTTAGGGCATGCACTCAATCAAGTTAGTAGCATCAGCCAGGGGCGGATCTATAATATAATCCATATGTTCACGTAAATCCAGTAGTTATATATATATATATATATATATATATATATATATATATATATATATATATATATATATATATATATATATATATATATATATATANTATATATATCAACCTAGTATTTATTGTATGCTAACCTGAGATCATTGTAAGAACCCATAAACTTCCCGCTTCTAATTAAGCCGTCAACATAATGTAGTTGTTTATAAATAACCAAAAGGAAATGTGATTTAATTAATTTACCTGGCCTATTGCTTTCCACAATGACTCATTAAAAGATGCAGCAGTAGTAATAACAGTAGGAAAACTTGTAGCCCCAGGAACAACTTTGTCAAAAAACGAAGCTAAACTATAATATTGTCCAACGTTAGAAACACCATGTAATGCCTCAGACCACCATTCATATTTAGGAAGACCAATCCTAGCAACACCAAAAGCAGTATCTCCTATTTGTCGCGCTTTTTCAGACAACGTCATTCTGTCAATCAAATCCTTAACCCTAACTGCGTAAGGAAGGGACTTGTCGCAGTACGCGAAATCATTCATGTCCAAACCCAACTTTGCAAACCTCGACGTGTCACAAACACGTCGAGTTTGGTTATACGTGAGATCATTGAGGGCCGTAATTGAAGAATTGTATGGAATATTTCTAGCAGATATTCTTGAAATGAGAAAGGAAAAAATTAAAATGGTGAAGAAATGAAGAAAGCTAATCTTTGCCATTTTTCTTAGTTGTTTTTTGTGTTTTGTCAAGTTGATGAAACGATTGTGATTTTAGAGGAGTTTATATAGATGATATAATAATTTGGATAAGTGATAGTAAAAATACAAACGTTGATAGATTAATATCCTGTATTTTAAAGTTATCATTCTGTTAGTATTTGATAATGTTATTATCAAGATTAACATTTAACAAAGAAATCTCTTTTACATGATGATGCTGTATTTTCCAAAAAAAATCTTTATTTCTTTGATTAATGTTGTGATACTCAATCACTGCTAAAAATTTAATTAAGACGAACGATTAATATTAAGTCTAAAATTTTCTGCATGTTTGCTTTATCTTATTATACTAGTAGGTTTTATGAGACTCAACATATGCTTAGAAGTTTAAATGGATGAATTTTTTTTAATGCTCTTGAGTTAATTATATTATAATTTTCTAAGCACGTATTGATATGATATCCAGTATCTATTTTCGTTAAATATATAATATCCTATATTATTATATTTGGCGGCAGATGTAGATCAGTGTATAGTATAGAGTCCAATTTCCTGCATTATCTCATTTGAAGACACCCCTTTTCCGCGGGAAATATTTTACACATTAAAAATCTTTTTTCCAACCGTAATTTTTACACACCTAAATTGAATTGAATTGTATCAAGCCCATCTCTCTTAAGAGATATACGAAGCGTTTGGATAGGGATAAATGTAATATAATTAAGGGAGAAATTCAAAAATAGTCACATTTACCACTGGTCGTTGAAAAATAGCCAAGTTTCAAAAATCATCGAAATTTAGCCACTTTAAATCTGAGCAAAAACACTGTTCAAAATCCGGAAAAATACGCCCGCAAATTTTACGGGAGTTCCAGCATAAGTATGCTTGAACTCCCGTAAATTTTACGGGAGTTCCAGGATAACTATGCTGGAACTCCCGCAAATTTTACGGGAGTTCAAGCATAATTATGCTGGAACTCCCGCAAATTTTACGGGAGTTCCAGCAAGTATAATTGTCCAGTATAATATACTGGAGTTTGGAGCACTGGTGCTCCAGTCTCCCGCAAATTTTACAGGAGTTAGCAAAGTATACCGGTCCAGCATAATATGCTGGAGTTCGTACACAAATGCACCAGAACTCCCGTATATTATACTGGACCGGTCCCTGTTGCAGCAAAATAGTGGCTATTTTTCATTGACTTGATAAATGCTGGCTATTTTTCATTGACCAGTGTGAAAACTGG